CAGTGAATAGGGTATGTCAGTTTATGCAATCTCTATGTGATGTCCATCTTCAGACAGTAAAGCGAATATTGAGATACTTATAGGCTACTGTCGATTTTGGTCTTCGGTTTTTAGTATCTTCCTGCTTATCCTTAACAGGGTTTGTTGATGCAAACTGAAGATCAGATGCAGATGACAAATGTTCGACCTCGGGTTACTGTAGCTATTTTGCTAGAAATTTGGTTTCCTGGAGCTCTCTTAAACAACAAGTAGTTACCCGTTCTACAACATAGGCTGAATATCGGAGTGTTGCATGTGCTACTATTGAGATGGCATAGCTTGAATCACTTCTAAGTGAACTACGTGTGACCACTCATGGAAAACCTGTCTTGTGGTGTGATAATTCCAGTCCTGTGGTATTCTGTGCTAATTCGATTCTTCATTCCAAGTTTAAGCATGTTGAGCTTGATATGTTCTTTGTTAGGGAGATGGTTGCTGCTAGCAAACTTTCTGTTCAGGAGGTTCCTGCTTTTGAGCAGGTTGTTAATGTCTTAACTAAACCATTGTTTGCTCCTATGTTTCTTAAACATAGATAATTGTTGCTTGTTTCTCAAATTCAAGACAAGACTTTGCTTTCGAGGGTTGAGGAATGAGTCGAATAAGTTGGTGTTTTAAACAAGGTGGTGTGTTGAAGGATGTTGTTAGTGGGAGAGTTTGCAGTAGGGGGAATGTTGGTGCATGGCCTCGTATGTGTTGAACATATATTGGTGTTTTAAACAAGGTGGTGTGTTGAAGGATGTTGTAAGTGGGAGAGTTTGCAATAGGGGGAATGTTGGTGCATGGCCTCGCATGTGTTGAAAAGTGTTGAAGAAAGTTAGCAGTAAAGTTTATAGTAGGGGGAATGTTGGTGTATACGATCTGGAATAAACTACTTGCTTAGTTGGCTTCTTACGGTTAGGTTGTTAAGAGTTGGTTAAGTTGGTTATAAGCTGTTAAAGCTTCTAGAGATGTTCTTATGAATTGTATAAATACACCTCTCTATGATTGAGAGAGATATGTTAATGAAATGAATGAAGTTTAGTAATCTGGTTTCCTCCTTGCTTCTTTCTTGCTTTCTTAGTTTTGTTTCTTTACAGTGATTGTTAATCACTATAGTAAAACTATAACAATCCCTGTCTAGTTGCCTAAGTGAATAAATACAGAAGAAGAAAATACAAGCTTTCGCAATTCTTGGAACTGCATGCAATGTTTCAACAATCGGAGAATATATGAACACATAGGTTTAATGGTAGTGGACAATATTTTACTTATTTATTTTACATGAATGGCGCAGGGCAGCTCGACTCCTCCATTATCTTAGCTAGGTTTTCAAGTTTTCTATTTTTGAAAAGCTATCTATTTACAGAAATTTTGGACCACCTTATTGTTTTTTATTGTAATTTAATGGTTGGTAGGGGAAATTAATTATGGTAGATAGTAACGTTTGTTTAATTAATTAAACCACTTCATAATAATATGATTAAAATCACTGATACTGAATGAAATATAAATTTTGTGAAGATTTAGATTTAAAATTCATATTATATGTATAGATTATGTTGTTCGAATCTATATTAAAATACTTTTGATGAAAATAACTCATCAAAAAATATCTTTATTCAGATCAAATAGCATTAAATCCAATATAACAAAAGAAAAAATATAGTACATCAAAATAATAATACAACTAATAATAATTATATATATATATTATACGTTTAGAGACCTATATTAGTTTTCCCACGGTTCTCTCCCTAGTTATGGTTAAAACTTTAACCATAATTACACATTTAGTTAGATTAATTCAGGGTAAAGTACACAAATGGGCCATCGCTATAAGACGTTTTGTTGAGTCCATTAACTATTAAAAGTTATAAAAGAATCCTCCAACTATAGGATATTATTTTGTTGTGTCCCTTGACTATTAAATGTTATAAAATGGTCAGCTAACTATTCATATGTTCCAAACTCGTCGTTTTCTATTAAAAAAATTAACGAAAGTTTGAGCTGGACGTTAACATGTTGATTGTGATATAATAAAATATGATTTCAAAATATCAAACAACTATCATATCCTAGTCAACAGGTTGACATCCAACTTATATTGTCATCAATTTTTTAACAGAAAATGACGAATTTAAAATATATGAATAGTTGGGGAACCATTTTATAACTTTTAATAGTCAAGGGACTCGCGAAAGCAATGTCCTACAGTCGAGAGACCATTTTATAACTTTTAATAGTTAAAGAACTCAATAAAATAATACCCTATGATTCAGGACCATTTGTGTAATTTATCCATTATTTAATTAATGAAGTGCATGAAATGGATGGTGGGGACGTTCTTATCCGATCGGGAAAAATGATGAGGCATTTCAAATACTTCACTTGAGAATATATTTGTTGAAAGGAAAGAAATATTTAAGCTTCTGAATTTTTCACTTCTGTAATTCAAAATAACATAAATTTAATTATATATGTCACAACCGATCATTCGGAGGAAAAGTTGACTAATTGTGACGAAGGAGATTTAAAAAAAAAAGATTTTTATGAAATATTAAGAGTTGTCATCAATCATTTTTAAGGTATGAATGAAACACCTAAAATCATGTAATTTTAATAAAACAATTTATTTTATAAAAAAATACAAAGTTTTGGTTTATGAAATCAGAAATCAGGTTCCAGAGTCAATTACACGTGGGGAAGGATTAGTACCCTACAGTGCCAAAAAATTGATACCTAGTCGATTACCTTATATCAAAAATTGGAAAATTTGAGTTTGAAGTTTTATTTAATTTAAAAATCATTATGTATTCAAATTTTGGAAAATGATACCAGTTTACCAAGACCAATAACGACCATCCTCGGACAATTATGTGAAAGCTTCGTTATTGATCTGTATAAGCAAACATTGTCTTGAAGTTTAAGAAACCATGATGTAGGGTTTTTTTTAAAGATGTTAATTCAAGCAAAGGACACACTATTAGTTCCTGGATAAATGAAAATTGCCTTATTATTTTAAAAAGTCAAATGCAATCAAACAACCACTTATGAACCTAATTATGCTAAGTGGGTTAATTAAGGCTTTCTCTAACCTAGAATGTCAAGTTATGAAATTTAAAGAACCTAGAGGATTAAACCTAAAAATATAGGCTTTAATATTAATCCTAATTTATTTTAACCAATTATTTAGTCAAATAATCAACGTGAACCCTTGGGCATTTAATGCAAGGGCCAAATTGAATATTCTCTAAATTAAGAGACTAAGTAAAATTAATGGCTAAAATGGAGGATCTAGTTAATAACCTAATTAATTTTAACCAATTATTGAATCAAATACTCGATTTTAACCCTCGGGCATTTAATGCGAGGACCAAATCAAATATCCCTAAATTAAAAAGTTTAGGGACTAAAGTGTGAAAAATTTTAAATCTAAGGAATAAATTCTAAATGTAAATTAAAGTGGAATGAAAGTAAAGGATCATCCCTAAAATCTAATCAATTAAGAAAGGATTAAAATTAAAGGAAAATAAATCGGAAGCAATGAAATTAAATAAAAGAAAGTAACCAAACATGTATTTAAAAAAAAAAATCTAGATGTAATGTAACAAAATTAAAATTACATGTTACTAATTAGTGATTTCATAACAAAAATTTAATAAACTAAATTAGTATTAGGGTTATTAATAGTACAATTAATATAGGGACCAAAATGAAATTAGGATATACATTAGGGACCTAATGTAAATAAAATATCATATATAATATATCTTCAATAGGAATGGCAACGGGGCGGGCTTTGCTCGCCCAGTCCCCGAACCCGAAATGAATTCACGCCCCGACCCCAACTCGATCCCTGATAGATTTTTTATCGGGGTATCCCGTCGGGGATTTTTTTTGTCCCGTCCCCGAACCTGACCCGAAATATTATACCTGAACCCGAAAATATTATATATATAATTAATATAAAATATATAAAATATTATATATATAATTAATATAAAATATTATATATATATAATCGGGGCGGGGCAGGAATACCTTGCCCCGTCCCCGAACTTGACCCGAAAAAACCTCCGATACCCGATTCGAACTTGACCGAATTTTGAGTTTTCTCGTCGGGTTCGGATCATTCTGCAATCCCTAATCTTCAATGAAACCTCATTTTAAATGGTTGTAAGTATTTTCTAAATCCATTTTCTTAGTACCTATGTACAGACTCTTAGTGAATATGCCAATTTAACAGCCTTCTCAATACCTCAGATTCTACCTAACAAAAGAGCATGTCGCTGACCTATGTAAAGACTCTTAGTTTTATGATACTAAAATAATCTACTGCTTTAATGTGACCGTTGATTGTTTAAAAGTAATTATTGCCCTAATTTGATTAATAAATTTTTTTAACATTTAAGGTAAAAAAAATTACTTAAAACATTAATGTTTTTAATATTTTCGTAAAGTGCCCAATAATAATAAAATCGAAAGAAAAAAATATAGTTTAGGTAGTGTTTTACCAAATATGTTAATAAAACCGATAAATCACCCAATAATAATAAAATCAATAAAAATAATAATGTTTTAAATAATTTTTTACTTGAAATGTTAAAAAATAATAACAAAATCAATAACATAATTCATTAACTGTATATTAAGATTACCGCGTGATATATATATATTTTTTAAAGAGGTATCCAATAGTCAATTTAGATCAAAAGGGATGCAGAGTTGAGACACGTCAACAAACCACGCTTGAATAAAGGGGTCCCACTCTACAACCACAAAGCCCAGGGCTTTTGTACCGAGTTTAGCCACACCTGCACCTATGTCTGAACCAGCCCACACCGTGGGACATGATCTTAGTTAGGTTAAAAGTTGAGATGCGAAGCTAGTCAAGTCTTTAGTCGAGGACCAACTAAATATCCCACACCAGTTACGAACAGTACAACCGTAACATTTTATATACGAAAACCAGCAACCTTTGCTTTTCCCTTCAGATACATCCGATAAAATTGGAACGATACAGAAGATTAGCATGGCACCAGCGCAAGGATGACACGCACAAATCTAGAAATTGTCCCAATTTCCCCCCTAATCTCTGGCTCCATCTCTTTCCGTGTTTTATGTGTTTTTTCTTCTTCTTGGTTTGGTGACCGGTTCCATGGGTATTGCTCACATCGGATTACAATCTGGGCTTCGGCTTTCTTAGGTCTCCTGAACAAAGAGTATTTCGAGATTCATTATTTAGGGATTTGGTTTAGTTTGTGATGCGAATTTGCTGAATTAGCTTCTGGGTTCTTCATTGTAAGTTTCATGTCGCTTCTGGGTTTATGAATGCTGCTATTGAGTCTTGTGTAGAAATTGGGTTTATCTTTTATATTCCAAACCCTAACTATTTCATTCAATAAATGCTGTGGAATTGGAGAATGTGAAATTGACCGGAATTTGTTTATTTAACCCAACTGAAGTACCAAATGCTGCAGGACGAATTGCAATTGCCTTTGAGGAATGAATTTGAATTGAAAGTTCCAAATTCACCTGCAGTGACATGCTAAAAGAGGTTAGAATGATCAAGATTTCATGTATCGGTCTTGCAAATCCAGACCCTAATGATTGTCTGTTTGTCACTTTGAATCCGTTTGTCGCTTCGAAGAAATTCGCGGTGTGACCTGAACTAATTCAGCTTCAGCCTTTAGTTCGAATCAACCAAACATCCTGCATCTATATGAATCAGAACAATGAAACCTTTCATTATAGAAACCAGCATTCAGCATATATTAGTATGGTGGAAAATTTGAGAAGTGGTTCACACGGTTTTTCTTCTGATTTTCCGTTTTTGCAGGTCGGTCTCCGTCGCTGTTTTCTTTGAATTTTAATGCTTAGCTCGGCGTTCAACTTCATGGAATTTTCTCACTTAATATTTCAACTCAGAGTCTTCTTCTTCCAGGTTCGGTTTGATTTATCATCTTAAATCTTATCCGTTGTACGAGTGTGAAGTGTGGAGCTGTATGAATTCAGAGTACTGAGTACTATGCTTTGTGTATGAATTGGTCTTTCTATCCCATTCTATATCTGGTCATAACAAATTTGTGTTAAGAAAGTTATGAATCGATATTACCTTGTAATTACATCATGAAGAAAAATTCATGAATAAGTTTTAATAGGGAAAGATCAAAGATTGTTTTAATACGTTAATTATGGTAAGATATGTGATACGCAATTGAAATGTAAAGTATGTGATTGAATACATTAATTATGCATTCGTTTTTTTAACTATCAATATCCGATTTATTGATCGATTAATCTAAATCAAATAAGTTTTAATAGGGATGAATTCGAATTGAAAGGTCAAGACTCACTGGCAGTTCACTGCTAAAAGAGGATCATAATGTTGCAATAATTTGACTAAAATAGACCGAGAACTAAATGAACTTGTTAAATTAGAGGATGATCGTTTATTTTGTCTAATTTTAAAATGAATAAACTTTTAATACGAAATAAGAATCAAACTTAACTTCAAATAAATTGGGTCTTAAGGAATGTTTAAATCGAAGAATATGTTCTAAGAATTGATTTTTTTTTAATTTTAAACTTCGAAAAGACCTTAAAGTAATGGGCAAAGTACACAAATGATCCTTGATTATAGGGTATTATTTTATTAAGTCACTAGACTATTAAAAGTTATAAAATGGTTAATGTTGTTTTGTTAAGTCCTTCGACTATTAAAAGTTACAAAATGATCACTTGACTATTTATTATGTTTTAAACTCATCATTTTTCGTTAAAAAAATTGACGGTTGTGTAAGTTGAATGTTACACGACGACTAAAATATTATAGTCATCTGAGATTTTGGATCAAATTTTATTATATCATAGTCAGTGGATTAACGTTCAGCTCATAATATCATCAATTTTTTTAACGGAAAATGATGAGTTTAGAATATAATGAATAGTCAGGTGACCATTTTGTAACATTTGATAGTCAAGGGATTCAACAAAGCACCACTCTATAATTAGAGGATCATTTTATAATTTTTAATAGTTAAATGATTTAATAAAATAATATCATATAATCGAGAGACTATTTGTGTACTTTACTCTAAAGTAATTTGACCCCAAAAAATTAAAAGAAATAAGACTTAATTTTCTGAATTTTAAAATCACGAGGGATCTAAAAAGTTATTTGACCAAGCTTACTACTAGTAGCAGCATAATTTATTTTTGAGAAAATCACCTCAGTGACCAAAAATGCCTTATAATATACGATTTTAACCAACTTTTTTTGGATTTGCCAAAATGACCAACAAAATCGCAACGCGAAATAAAAATCGCAACGCGATCCCCAGAATCGCAAATCAGTTTCCAAAATCGCAACGCGATTCTTGAAAATCGCAATGCGATAGTACAAATTCGCATTGCGATTTTCCAGAATCGCAACGCGGATATGAAAATCGCAATGCGAACACATAAATCGCAACGCGTATCCGTAAATCGCAACGTGTATCCGTAAATCGCAACGCGTATCCGTAAATCGCAATGCGTATCCGTATATCGCAACGCGTATCCGTAAATCGCAACGCGATTTTTAAAGCGCCATTATAATCGCTACGCGTATTTTATTTTCAAATTACAAAAACGAATATTAAGACAAAATCCCGTAATCGCAACTCATAACCTAAAACCTAAAATCACAACTCAGTCCCATCTCCATCTCTCACTCTCTACGGCGAAATCCGTCCCCATCTCCGGCGAAATCCCTCACAACCATTCACGGTCAGAAATCCCTCACAATATTCAGAAATGGAAAATCAACCTCCGAGGGTTAGTTTTTTTAATTATTTTTATTTTGAAATTTTTGCATTATTGTAGGTTTTTCATATTGAAACTGATGATAAGTTTACTGGTCATTTCAATAATAGATTAACCATTTCACTTAGATTTCATTTCGCGTTACGATTCTCTCGTTGCGATTTTCATTTCGCGTTGCTATCTCTCGTTGCGATTTTCAAGTTAGTATTTGTCTTTGTCTTTGTTCTGTCTTTTGGTTGAAGTAATGCAATCCATTCAAGTTTCAATTTGCAGAAGAGTCGCAACGAGATAAATGAAAATCGCAACGTGAAAATGACTATCTGCAACGAGAAAAATGAAAATCGCAACGAGAGAATCGCAACGCGAAATAAAAATCGCAACGAGAGAATCGCAACGCGAAACCTAAATCGCATAGCGATTTTCATTTCGCGTTGCGATTCTCTCGTTGCGATTTTCATTTTGCGTTGCGATTCTCTCGTTGCGATTTTCATTTCTCTCGTTGCGACAGTCATTCTCTCGTTGCGATTTTCATTTCAACCAAAAGACAAAACAGTGTTGCAAATTTTAGTTTCAAGAATAAACTACTACTTTTTATGTTTATTGTTTTTGGTATATCTTCACAGTGTAGTTTTTGGTATATCTAACTTGGTATGTTTATTGTTTTTGTAGAAATTTTTTTCGGCTTCATTGACATTAAGGAATAAAGTTAGCCTAGCCACTACAATTGCTTCGAAGCTTTCACCTGCACAAAGACAATTGTTTGAGGAAACCTGCTTCGGGCCATGGCTGAGAGTACAGCATCCGGGTGGAGATGCTAATTTGACCCATTTGTGGCTTCAGACCATGACATCAAATCTACCCGACAGTATACAACGTGGTGAGGAAGAGATATGGTTTCATTTTCCACCAGCGTATACTTGTTTTGGGCAGAAGGAGTTCTGCTTAATCACTGGTCTATGATTCGGACACGATGATGTAGGCCGGTACACTCGTCATATCGCCCGCCCATCATGGTTATCCCGGGTTTTTCCGGATGAGTCAATGGAGAAGCCGAACCTACACGTCGACGACCTGAAGAAATTGTTTAATAAGAAAGCTGGTTTCACTCGGATGGATGACGTCGATGTTGTCCGAGTATGCCTTCTACTACTTGTGTATGCCGGCTTTTTAGGCAGAGAGGCCAGACAACCTATTCCTCGGGAGCTAATAATATTGGTAGAGGACCTGAATGCATGGAATCTGTTTCCGTGGGGTTCGTATATATGAAAAGCTACTTGGACTAAGTTGTCTACTGCCTTTGATGACCGCAAAAGTTTGCGTGGCGATGGGTCGAAATATACTTTGTCAGGCTTTGTTTGGGCCTTTAAGGTAAGAATTTCTATATAATGTTTCTAAAATTATAATTAATTATTTAACAATTACTAATTTTGTTATTATATTGTTTGTAGATTTGGATATTCGAGGCTTTCCCCAGCATGCGTACATATGCAATAAAACGTCAAATGATATTCCCAGGGCTATTTCCTGGAAGAGGAAAAATCTGTTGGATTGGGAAGACTTAATACCATATGCGACAATAAATAATGTAAGTTAACACAAATACTTTCATATAATATATAAACAAGTTATTAATAGTAGACGTTTAACTTTGTTTGAGTTTTTATATTGTTAGGAGGCCAACATTCCATTACAAAGACTGACACCCACGGAGGAAGAGCTTGCCACTGATTGGTGGCAAGCTAGTCAGAGTTTTTTTGATGGCACGGATGATGAGCAGCATCCACTTCCTCCAATTCGAGAGCCATCACCTCACCCAGAGCCATCACCCGATCGACCCGACTATACACCTCTAGAACGAGAGCCATCACCTATCCCGTCACATCATCGAGCCTCTTCTCCACCATCACCTCATGATAGGCGACCGGTAAAGAGGCCACGACATTTATCTCCTTGTTCTCCACCTCCACGGGATGAGTTACGTGATGAGGTCAATGCCTTGCGTGAGGAGATCGGTACTCTACGCGATAACGATGGTGCATGGCGTGTGGAGGTGTCAACTTTACGTGGTGAGGTTGCTGCTCTACGTGAGATGATAGTATCGTTGCAGAATGAGGTTCATACTCTACGCAACGAGGTAAGTTTAAGATTTTCCATATTTAACTTAATGATAAATTTACTCGTAATTTCACTTAGATTAGCCATTTCACTTAGATTGCTTAGTAAATTTATTCGGTTGCTGCCAATTCTGCTAAACTGTGTATTCTTTAACACTGTGAAAT